GATTTTCTTTTCCAAACAAGCATATCAAAATTAAGGTTTTTCTAAACCTGACATTTTTAGTGTAAACTTTTACGCATAAATAAACAATAATAATAAGCGTATCAGTCGCACAACTTTTTCATATGTCATCCGTCATCTAGGTGAAAATGACAAGTTTAACTTGAGTATTATATGATGATCATATAAAGATGATGATGATGTTAACTTGGTCTCATTCTATCGTTATTATGCCTTATTTTTTGACATTACTTTGCAAAATTATGTCTTGGACTTGATTGCTATTTTTACTTTTGTCATCGGCTTATACAATTACAAATTATTCTTTTATGCAGTAATGTGATTTACTACTTCGATATGTGTACACTCTTATTTCTTTTTATTATATGTTATTTTATGAAGTATATATAATTTCATGTTATTTTAGACTTAACTACTACATAGTATTTCTTTTTGTCATGAACTTATGCTATTATGAATGCTTTTTTTGATGGAGTGAAGAGGTATTCTATTTGAATGTGTGTGTACTATATGTTTTTTATGCTCTAAAAACTAGTACAATAATTTAAGCACTCAAAATAAGACCCGTATTTTTAACCCGAATTTTTCTAAGAAATGTCGTATTATACACGTTTACGTATTTACACGTTTTTTAAAAGTCAACGTATTTTTTGCCGAATTTTTGACCGTATTTTTTGTTCAAGTTACCGAATAAAACACGTACGTATTAAACCACGTTTAATTCCCGTACCGTATTTAACTAACTATGGGCTCATATACTAACCAAAAAAGGTCAAATAAGCCCTTATTTAGGTAGTTCTGTCCGGCCGTCGTCATTTGGGGTAGTTCCCGGTGGAATTTTTCGATGAAATTTTTTGAGCATCTTATTTATCAAGTCTAGTTTGCTCATAACAAATTTCAGCTAAAACTTCAATCGGGAAGGCATTCAAATGAATTCTTGAAGATAACTGCGCTTCTAACTGTGCAGTTATTTTCAATAATTCATTTGAATGCCTTCCCGATTGATGTTTTAGCTGAAATTTGGTATGACCAAACTAGACTTAATGAATAAGATGCTGAAAAAATTTTCATCAAAAAATTCCACCGGGAACCACTAGCTGCAAATGGGGACGGCCGGACAAAGCCTCCTAAATAAGGGCTTATTTGACTTTTTTTGGTTAGTACATGGGTCTATTTGCACCTTTTCCCTAAAAAATTTAAAGGATTTACATAAACTACAGTACCATTAGCATTTCAACCTTCCATAAACTTCAATAGATAATATTTGTTGCTTAATATGAAATTGCAGGCTTGTGGCTTGCAGCTTACAAGAAAAGAAGTTTTTATTTGGACTGTTTTCAGTCTCAGACTAAACCAGATCAGACTTTAATAGACCAGAGCAGATCAAGTTAGACTTCCATAGTTATAAAATACACATAGACCAGATATTTATCAGACCAGACTAGACCAAACTTAAACATATTATATCACATCAAACCATCAAATTTCAGTCCAATGATTTGGGAGATCATTGGTCTAAATATTGCACTGAATCAAACAGTTGATTGAATTATGCCTCGTTGCTCTCCACTTTCCACTTCGAGAGAAGTCCCCATTTTTCTGGCATGTCCTTAATTTTCACTAACCTCCACGGGGATGACGGGACCCATTTCATTATATTCCTTGACCCAGGGGAGCATCTATGTACAAGCTATGATAGACTGAAGTTCAGAGCACTTTAATTTTTTTTCAACTTTTCTAGTGTAATTTTTTTTTTTTTATATTTATCCCACCCCACTATAATTGCACTTCAGCCCAGAGTAACCCAGATTTCTGGATCTGCCTCTGCCTTGACCTTTGCCTACGTGATAATAGAAATATAAATACGTATGTCACAAATACATGAAATGACCAAATAAAAAAATTCGCATACAGTTGCAGGTTGAGAGCCCGTTTGGTAATACGAAAATCGGCTAAATCGGTTAATTCTGCTGAAATTTATGAAATTCTAGCTGAAATGGTTGAATATTTGAATTGATTTATGAAAAAAAAAAATTAAAATATATTTTATTAATATTATAAAGAAAAAGTATATATAAAATAGTTAAAAACTTAAAATGGTCTTCTATAGTAATTTCAATCGATACAACTAAAAAAGTAACATAAATCTTATTTTTTCTTATTATTACATACCAAGTACAATTCAATACACAAAATCAAAGTTAAATATTTGATGAAAAAAGGTGATTGATAAGTCAAATAAATGGGGTTTAGAAGATAGGCAGGCACGCAGGAGTGCAGGACAAATGAATACGGAGTACCAAAAAGTTTGTCTAAGTGGCCCCAAAAATCAATCCTGATCCAAATTGTACATGTATGGTTACCCATTGCGTGTTACAAACAACGCCTTTTACCGCCTTAAGCCCAAATGTAGCTCATAGAGGCGCGCCTCACACTGGAATCATTTTGCACAACGACAACAATGAGATTAGCTAGAAGACTCGAAAGCAGGGAGGATATATGTTCGGGCTATGGTAGGCTGAAGTCCAGGACAATTTAAAAAAAATTCAATTTTTTTAGTGTAAAATTTTCCAGTTTTCATATTTAGCTTATTCTGCTAACATTCAAGCCTAGTATAATTTATATTCAGTCAGGACATCTCAAATTTCTGGACCCGCCCTTGCTCGAAAGTAGAAGAACATGTAGTTCAAGAAGGTAGTAGTTGTAGAAGCAAGGTTTCTGGTCATTGTCAAAGATTTTCTGAGCCACGAAACCGGTCGTCAAAGAAGTAGAAAAGAAATGGCTAAGAACGTTTTAAATGGGTTGCTTTTTCTTTCTAAATCAGTTCAAAAACCAAAATTACCTCAAATTTCCTTAATCTTAGCCCAGGCAACTCAGAAATTCATTTGCTTCGTTATAGTGAGCTACTAAAATTACTGGTTAATAAATGCAGTACGCTGCAATGCAACGATCAGTTAAAGGCAGACAGCTGAGGGGGGGCAACTCGCCAAGACAATGTCTTTTTCATTCAGAGTTCAGACTAACTATACAATTAATTATTAATACAATTTTTTCACTCATACATTTTTTGAATGAAACGCTAAAAAGGACTATTGACCCAGTAATCAAGAAGGGACCCTCCGGGTCCAGCTTGACCATTGACCCGTATCCAGGGGCGGAGCCAGAGCACTGGACCGGATTGGGCCGGTACAAAGAATATTTTTGAAAAAGTTTTAAACGAAATTTTTTTACCTTAAAAATTAAGCCATTTTTAAAATTTGGGGTGGGCCATGGCCTAGGTTGGCCCACCCCTAGCTCCGCCCATGGGTCGTATCTGATACTCTAGGATACTCGATCGTACTATACGTTTACGGGCCGTATTTGCAATTATTTTTGTAATTATTTTAAAATTTTGGATATTCGTATCCTGACGGATACACATATCAACTTAAAAAAAACATCCAAAATTTACATTATCAAATTCTTGAAAAATGAAAACTAAAAAGAAATTTTATCTTACTTTTATTTATGTGGTACATAACTAAATGACATGAATGACTAGATGTTAGAGGATAAGATATGTATATATGTTCAAAAAGAATATAGGTACTTTAGCTACTTATGTTTTAATAGGTATAAAAATAATGAGAAATTGCCGTAAATATGAATAAATAAGTTTTTTTTTAAATAAGACTGCTATGTTTTTCTTTCCGAAATAGGAGCCAATACTACCATGATTGAAAAATACTGTCATTAATGATACTAAATAGTTACTCCCTCCGCCCTAATAAATTATTTCAAGTCAAACGTGGCTCGCAAATTAAGGAATTGAGAATAAAGTGGAAATGTATGATTGCAGTTGGGTAAGAAAAATGTGAATGAATGTGAACCACACAATTTTCCAAAAGTGGAAGTTGGAAGATTATTTTGGGACGCCCAAAAAGGAAAGTTGAAAGAATTTAGTGGGACCGAGGGAGTAAATATTGTCATTTCTTATAAGAACTAGTACTGCAACTATTTGACAGTAATGACTACAAAATTGCAGTAAATATTGTCATGTTACTCTTATTTCGGAAAGAAAAATATAACAGTCTTATTTTGGAATTTCAAAACTCATTTACTCCAATTTCAAGAACTTACCTATACATAACCCGTCTTATATACGGACAAAATAAGGAGTAATTATTCACATATATATTTCACTCCTATTAGGGTCAACTCTTCTACTCTAAAAGATATTTTAAAATTTATAGATTGTAAATGTAATTATTTAATAAAGTAACGTTTTTTTTTTAACTCAAAGACTCAAAGTAACTATTTATTGAATAGTTTTCTGGTTATTCATAATAGGGGTGAAAATCTAGTACTACGTATATCATAATCAATATATTTATATACGGAGTATTTGATTATTATTTTCAGCACATGAACAAGTAAAACGCGGTCAAAAAAAAGTACGTAAAAATGACAATACATGGAAATAGTTAAGCATGGAGCCATTGAGGTTTTATTTAAGATAAGTTTAATTATACGGAGTACTATTTAATACTCCGTGTATGTATTATTACAAGAGAGAATTCCCTAAATAGGAGTAAAAACGTTTTGAAATTCCAAAATAGGAGTATCATGTTTTTTATTCTCTGAATAGGAGTAAATTCCTGCCAAGTTTGGCATTACAAGGCTTTTAAACATGACATTTTCTTCAGAACTTGGTAGATTACTCCTATTCAGGGAATAAAAAAACATGATACTCCTATTTTGGAATTTCAAAACGTTTTTACTCATATTTAGTACAATTTCTGTTATTACAATAATAAAAGTCTAGCAATTGGCGTATAGTTTTATTACAAGCATGCAAAATGTATCTATCCCATTATGGTATATATCTCCTTTGAGATATATGAAGAATACTTTCTTAATTATGAAGTGATTGTTACTTATTAAAAACATGCTAATCAAATACTTCGTATATGTTATCGCTATGGAGTAATAATATCCAATATTTCAATGATTATATAATAAACACGTATTTCTGCATCATCACAATAGTAATTTGTTTCCGGTCATTAAATTCTTGATCGGTCAAAAACAAAAATGATGGTGAATCCTCTAAGTGGCGATGGTGTCCCGTCCGGGGACGGCGGCGATGATGTTCCGGCCGGGGACGACGGCGTTTCTGTGACCAGCCGCGGCGGCACGAGCGATAACTATACGGGTGGATGGAGCTTTCTAGCGGAGGAGCTGGATAATAAAAATGCATTGCCGCCACAAGCTGCGGCAGAGGACGATGGGGCGGCGGCCGGGGAAGTGAAGTACGTTGAACTGGCCCCACCTACGCCGCGTAAGAGACACTCCTTATCCGCACTGAGTGCGAAAAGCCTAGAGATGTGTACTGAGGGCTTGGGCTGCGAAACTGGCTTCGATGTTAGCCAGAGCATTGAGGAATTGATGGGGAAGTTGTCGTTGTCGCCGCAACCATCACCAACCAAGCCGGCCGGGATGATTGCGGGCGACAAAATCAACAAAAGTAAGGCCTTCCCGCCTCCCCTGAGTTCAACCAAAGGTCGGGCCGGGCTTGATGACGGGGTGAAGATGATGCGGCCTCGTCGGGAAGGCGGCCGGTTGGTGTTGACCGCCGTGTCTGTAACCCGACCCGACTCTTTCTTGGTGGCAAACAGATTAGATGGGAGACTCACACTTTCCTTCAAATGAAGATTAATTTGGCAAGAGACAGTGGAGGCTAGAGGGGCCTCGGCCCCCAAGAAAAAATTTATGATGTATATACATATATATATATATACGGAGTATATAAATATTTATAAGCAATAAAAAATATAATTAAATTTTAAGCTTTGGCTTTCTAGCCATTCATGGCTTCATAATCAAATTTTAAGCTTCGGCTCTCTAGCCTTTTATGGCTCCACCAATGGGTGGCTTTTTATGGGTTCAACTATGAATGTTGCTTTTTTGTAGTGGCTCGTTGACAACGCTTGTGAAAGTTCACTTGTAGTGAATGCCTCCTGTAGAGGATATAATGTGAACACTTTAATTTCCATATATGTTTTCACTTAAACTCGTGCCTAGTATATAAAATAGTTTCAAATGAGATATCTTTATATTAAATTTCAACCTTTCCTGCAGAAATGATTGAACAACGAAGAAATTATATATGCAATGAAATTGCAATTATTCATGCAAGTCTATAAATAATCTCTTTAATTTTTTGAAGTAAACTTATATTGTTCTATGAATGAAATATTTGAGTAAAGATGTTGACGACTTTTAAACACCTAGCGAAGCTAAAAACAACACATGGGAATCTTTTTTTTAAATGATTTTTGGTTATATTAGAAATAAAATAACTACTCATTATATTGTGAACACCTGAAATGTTTATGTACTAATTTAAATCCTACGAGGATCAAAGCATGTCTCATTTAAGTTTAATGCACCAATATTTGAGAATACTCAATTATTGAAGTTTTGATGTGCATAATAACAATAAATTCGATGGTCTTGAAATACACATTGCAGAATCATGAGTTTAGACAATTGTTTATGCTTAGAAACTCTTGAAGAGTTCGGTGACTAATATCCATTAAATCGGTATAAATAATGATGGAGGTTTATATATTAAAGATTTTCATCATATCAAATTATATAGAGTTGTTTATTGTGAGTATATTTGCCTAAACATAATGAGTTGTTGTTGAGGTGAAACGATTAATTGGTCCAAAAGATCATGTGTTGTTCTTTTTCTTTAGCCAAGTTTTTTCTCAACGGGTTTTCTAGGCCAAAGGTTTTAACAAAGTATTTTGTGGTTTTTAAAGAATGAGAAAGACACATAACATTTGGAAGACTATTATCCTCTAGAAGAGTGATTTTAGCATTAATTTAGAATATAATGTCCTGAAGGTCTTAATTAGTCATTGTGAAGTGGAACACATAAATGGTTCAGAAGTCCAAATATAATTGTACTATTTTTCCTTAACCAAGTTTTATCTCATAGAGTTTCTTGGGCGAAGGTTTTAATGAGGCAGCTTGTGATTTTCAAATAACGTATTGGAGTATGATACATAAGATATAGAGTATTACTACCTCCGTCCCAAAAAGGTTTGCCATATTGACTTTTATTGGTCAATGGTGACAAACTTTGGACAATGATTTTAATTATTACATTTGTATATACTCCCTCCGTCCCCTTTTAAATGGGACGGGAGATGATGACACTGGGTTTTAAGAAAAGTGAGTTTGTGTGGTTGATATTAATTGATAAAGTAAGAATAAAGTAAGAATGATTTTGAGCCACACAAAGTTTACCAAATAAGGTATGGGGCAATTAAATAGGGACATCCCAATATGGTAAAACGGGACATTTAAAAGGGGACGGAGGGAGTAATTTATAAATTTTGTACTTTTATGAAAATATTTAGAATAAGGAACATTTTGATATAATTTTTATATTCAAAATAATTTCGTATTAAAAAGTATCATCGGTCAAAGATTGACCAAGAAAAATCAATTTGGCGATCCTTTTCGGGACGGAGGGAGTATGTTTGAGTAAATTCCCTAAATAGGACTAAAAAAGTTTTGAAATTCCAAAAAAAACTATCATGTTTTTTTATTTCAGAACAGGAGTAAATTTATCCCAAGTTGGGCATTACTAGTAGAGCCGTCAAAATGGGCCGGAACCCGCGGGCTGGCCCGTTTAAACCCATTTATTGGTGGGTTAGGGTTGAGAATTTCTGACCCATTTAGTTTGCGGGTTTCGCGGGTCAACCCACGCGGGTTGCGGGTTTAAGTGGGTTGGCCCACCGGGTTGCGGGTTGGCCCGCGGGCCAAAATATAAAAATATAGTTTTGAATTTTACTATCAATATTATTATAATTACAACTAAAAAATTACAACCATGACAAAACAATATTTATTTCTATAATAAATATTCAAATAAAATGTTGAAAAGTATATTTTATGTGAAGTTTGATACAATATTTAACAATTAATAGTCATTATTTACAAATAATCAATCAAAGTTAAAGGTTTGTGTAGATCTTTATTTTTATACAATGAGTATTTTTGTCGCATACCCTCTTATAGTTTTCAAATTCTCGTATAGCTAGTATTTAATATTTTTTAATTAAACTTTACAAGTATTGAATTCTCGTGATTTCTTATATTTCCTTTGTTACTGCTTTGTTTTTGGAAAATCCAATCTTTTATTGAACCAAGCGTAATGACAAAATTTCCTTTGTTACTACTTACTAATATAAATATATACTTCCGGGTAATTATTTTTAAAGTTTTTTTTTGTTATATATACTTTTTTTACATTGGCACGCGGGCCAACCCGTTTAACCCACGGGTTAGGTGGGTTGGGTTAGGGTTGAAGAAATTCTGGCCCGTCATTAAACGGGTTGCCCGACCCAACCCACATAAAGCATAACCCGTTACGGGTCGGGTCGGGTTGGGTCGTATTGGCCCGTTTGACAGATCTAATTACTAGGCTTAAAACATAGCATTTTTTTCAAACTTGGCAGAATTACTGCTATTTAGGGAATAAAAACATGAAAGTCATATTTTGGAATTTCAAAACATTCTTACTCGTATTTAGACCAATTTCTTATTATTTTTCTCCAGAAGAGTGAAATCAAAAGTAATCCAGAAGATTAGGCCTTGAAGACCAATGACTTAAGTACTCTTTTCTTTTACTAAGTTTTCCCCACGTGGTTTTCTTAGTTAAAGATTTTTATTTAGATGGTCAATACAACGCATCATTTTACATTTATTATGTACTCTCTTTTACTTGATTGGTTTTTTCCAAAAGGGTTTTTCAACAAGGGTTTTAACGAGGCATACACATAGTACAATCTTTAATTCGAGAAACTAGTAACCAAATTGGATTGAATTGGATTCAATAAGTTCTGAAATGATGCAATCAACAAGGGGAGTATACACGCGCTACACTCTTTTGTTGAAACCAACGTTTTGTCCTACTGGGATTTCCTCAACAAGGTTTTTAACGAGCCTACATTATCATTGTGTATAAAGATATTAATGCATATTTTTGTTGTAGTATTTTAATTTAGTAATGCACATCCAAGGGGGAGTGTTATGTAATTATGTGGATGTCCATTAATCCCCAAGCGCATATGTATAGGACAATATCAAATGTATGTGACTACATGTGAATGAATAGTACGCTTTTTGGCCTTGGCTTACAACATTATTTTTATTAACAGTTATCTAAATATTCACATATTCCCTCATAACTCAACAAAAATACCAAAAAAGGGGGGAAAAAAACTCAACAAAAATACCAAACATTCTCCCTTTCACTTCATAGCTTTTATCCCTAATGCTAGCCAAGTCATGTTGGTTCTACTTTGACTTCACTTCTATCTCCTTTGGAAATTAAAGAACTTAATGGCATAGGCAAACACAAAGCAGAACAGAAGAGCCCAGCCAACATGAGCTGCAGCAACAACTCCAAGGAAGTCGTAATCAAAACCAAATCCAACTTTGAGATAATCCTTCACACTCATATCAACACCTCCAGGAATCTCCACCATGCTTGTTTTGTCACCTACTTGAGACGTAATTAGACCATATATCGTCCATGCAACTGGGGAGCCCCAATAGTACCACCTCCACCACGCCGGGATTTGCTAAGCATACACACACATATAGCATGAGATAATCAATTCAATAAGCCCGGAACAAAATATGTGTTCTCTTAAAAAATGCACTTGTTAAAACTCACCGTTCTTGGAATGAGGAAGCCCGAGAAGAGATTCCAAAAGGTGAGGAAGAATGACATGACGATGGCAGCGATCTGGTAGTTTGGAGTGAGTGCAACAAGCATCATTCCATACATTGTGAAGTATATGAAGCTCATGAAGACGTAGTAGTAGAACCAAAAGAAACGATGAGCTTCCCAGTGGAATCCAATCATTGAGTAGAGTATAAGGCTGTAAATGAAGGTTTGTATTGCAATGTAGACAGCTTCAATGGCAACCTGTATGGCATAATAATATACTATAAACTTTTAAAGCTTATGACCGAGTGCTGACATTAGTCATCAGGAATTCATGTGTATTCGTCTCCTATTACTAGACCATAGTAACCATAGTTACATGACATAAAAACTTAGCTACCTAACTTAGTGCCCATTTTCGTAAGACCTAAAATGACAGAAGTGGCTCAATCTACTTAAAATACTTATTTTGCTCAACTATCTTAAACATTTGTTCAGAACATTTTAAAAAAATAAATTTAAATAAAAAATAATATCCAATGATGAAGGTTGAAGTAATAATTAGCCGACTCAGCCAACATAGTAAAATAGTTCAGTCTTTGGTGCAAGACTGCAAACTCTTACTGATACGCTGGAAAGTGATTAGGAAACAGGCACATAATGTCACTAATCTCTAATTTTAGCATCAATAACACAATGAATTGGTACACGTAAAAGTATTTACAGTTGTGCAATATTATTTTAGTGTAGTTAACGAAAATTTTGAGTTACTGTTAATGCCACTGTTAATTACCTGAGCAAATGCATAAGGCAATGCAGAATACATCCCCGCTGCTTTTTCTCGATAGAAGACTGTCCTTTCTACTGATACAACAGACTGCACAGCAGAAGTATTTGTTCCTCCGAGAAACATAACAGCAGCATACATAGCTCCCATGAGATTTGTAAGATCTTGTTGTCTGGACCTGTTACATTTGTAAACAAACAAAAGTCAAATTATAAATCAGGATGGAATAGGTAGAAAGGAGGTTATCATGCTAATTTCAGAACAATATAACTTACGTTTTGTTCCCCTTTTTCCAGAAAATAACTCCAAATATAACTCCTATTATGATTGTCATGAAAAAGCGGATCGCGTTGTACTGTGGATGCCTCCAGTAGGACATGTGCATTTTCCAAAAACAAGCTTTGCACTGAGTAAAGAAAGACTGGGCATATTTTGTGGGGAAGTGAAGGTCTTGGGAAGCAGGCCCTGGAGTGCTCAACTGTTCAATGAGTTCTTGATTCCTCCTAGGAAAATAAGTAGGAAGACACTAACTGTTAG